GACAGGAAGACTGCCAAAGCCTAGCCAGTGATAATCTCAGTAATTGTACCTTTCCTTGCAAATTACAGTACGTGACAATTGCCATAAAATGTTTCTGCATTAGAAATCAGAATTTTTAATGTTATGTGTCAATCAGAATTAAATATGCATTGCTGAGCAGTGATCAATTCAACTTTTTCTAAATCCTGCTTTTGTGTGTACAAGAGATACTACTGTAGTAATGTAGGAGATGACATGTATTTTTGTGAGATCTTTTACTAGGGTTCCTCCATAAGAATGTTTTTTCCTTCTTAATACTTGGTGAGAATTTGTTTAAGCTAAGACCCATTCAACAGACATATGATGAGCTCTTTTTTACGTAGACTGTACGTTGATTTATATGTAGCAAATTGTGTGCACATTATTATCATAGAACACTAGGATGGTTATACATCTTGAAACTGTGTCAAATAATGTTTAATCTTCAGGAAACTTAAGCCTGTAAAGTACTTTTTGAAAAACTTTATATTGTTGAATAAGTATATTTGTAATATAGCTGTTGGGCTTTTTAATCCAGATTGGTACAGTGTAGAAATATTATTTTTATTTAAGCTTCACCATAATGGCTGGAAGGTTCATGTCTTTGTATGTTAGAAATAACTCTTTCACTGATGGTTGACTATGATCAGTAGAGAACATTTGCACAAAATAATGTTAATCCACAATTACTTCAGCTGTAAACATCATTAAATTTATATTTGATTTACTGTAGTCTGATATAATTTTATAAAACTGTTTCTTAAAAATCATCTTCCAGTATATTTCTTTGTTGTACTTGTGTGTACAGTGATCCATTAGATACTGTTAGTTTTGTCTGGGCTTCTGTAAACCATACACTACACTGCATAGTCTTATTTGAATTTGACAGATTTTACAGTCGAGGTATTATTGTGGTGATTTTCAGTACATATTTCTTCATTTGCAAGGAAAAATTCAGGCTGGTAGTAAATGAGTAACAGTTGTCATAGGATGAAATAATAATTATACAGTATATGCCTTGTGATGAGTGAGAGGAAACAACCTTACCATAACTGCTTCATTTGGTTCTACATTGATGGATCTTTCTTTTATAATTGGATTTAATATACAAAAGTTGGACAAAATTAACAGTACAGTATGAAGTACATCACATAAAAGGTTACCCCAATATATATCAGATATTAAACTCAAAAGCTTTTATTTTGGTGATTTGTTGCTTATAATAGGGAGTCTTATCAGCCAAATATTATAGAAGCAAAAGGTCAAGCTTAAGGCTTTCTTTGTTCCTAATTTGGAATAGTAGTAATAACATTATAGTTAACTGGATTTCTTTAGCTTTCATTTATCTTTTCATATCTTTACCCAGGAGTTACAGGGGATCCCTACTCAAAGTTGCCCCATTTATCACCATTTTATTATTACATTACGAGTAAATTAGAGACATTGGCTGTTTAGCGCTGATTTGTTTCATTATAATGTCATTGGCATTTTGTCTACTAATATATATCTAATTTGTCAATATTTTCCACACATGCTTGCGTTAGCTGTGATTACCAGATGGTACGGTGTCTTGGTCGCCATCAGGCAAATTTGGAACAAGTTGCCAGCCAACACACCTTTACAGAGAGGGAAGTGGGTATTATGTGTAGGACTTCCAAGTACCTTCCTTGCTGGCAACTCCCTAAGATATTCAAACATTCCCCACAACCACGGTATTGCCAATTCATCTGAAGTATCACATATATGACAATAAGTTGGGATGCCCTGTACTTCTAACTGTATTTAATAAAGCATTTTCTTTCTTTAAAACTTGGTACAGTAATGTGATGCAAACGTTTCTCTTAAGAACTTAATTTTTTTAATATATTTTTTGTTAAGAATTAATTTCTTCAAAGATGGTCTGTAAAATCTTCCAAAGCAATTATTGAATGCAACAAAAAAAAAGATTGATTAAAATGAATAATTGCTGCATTGACAGTGTGGCCAATAGGAAACTTTGATAAATTAAAGTTAAACAAAAACTCTTCAGCTACTTTAGTAGATTTATCGTAATTACATTCTTCAACAATTTGCAAGCAATTTTTATTTTATGTAGAGGAAGCAACAAATTTTACAGGTTGTGTTCTGTGTGATCAAACTTGCTGTACTTCGCATAAAGGAAACTAATGTGGAATATCATTACAGTAGTATGTTACTTTTTTATGCTACATTTGGTGATAACTTTTGGGAATTAATTGTAATTAGCAAGTGACAGAGATCTTGTAAATACCACTTGTTAATTTGCATCTTGATTATCTATGTCGTGCTCTTTCATAAAGCTTACTTGTGGTTCGACATTTACAAATCAAGAGAACTGTGTTAGAGCTGCGGTATTAGCAGTAGTAACTGAACTTGATCAACTTGGTCATAGATAATCAAGATATTCTTGTGCAGTAGTAGTTTGAGATGAGAAAGAAAGTTTCTTTCATTAAAATTGTATATTTCTTATTGCATGAGTGAAAATATGTACTGCTGATCCTGCAGAGATCTGCAAGACACACAATAGTAGAGTACCATAGAGAACTACTAAAAGTGTTCCAAGCGTGTTCTCTCGGCCGGTGAATTTAGTACCGGATAATTACTGAATACTGATTATGCATTAGGTAAATTATCATGGACGTTGAAGTGTAAATAGGTGCCACCATCATCAGTGAATACTATTTGGTATTTAAAGGTGATTTATGTCTTGCTGTCATAGAATCTTTACTGTCTGAACTATGAGACCTGACAGATAATTCAAGGAAGTGATTTAGCCCCAGAGACTTTGGGTCAAGAATCTTCAGGCCTGTACATTGTAAGGACCAAAGTTTTTATCCAAAAGACTTCTGGCAAAAATAAAATAAATAAATAAATCACTGATGAACTTTCTATTGAAGACTTCTTAATAAATCACTTTTTTTCCGATAGTTAAAAGTTAGCATTAATAGTCCTCCACCTTTGTTTTTATACAAGGTATGTTTTACCGAGTCTGATCCTCCGACCGTCTTCCTTAAGGCATCTTCTGTTTCCCCCTTGAGTAGTACATTACTAGTGTGGTACAATGTTTCAAAGTTTTGTGCTTAAAGCACCTGTAGATGGCTAAGAATATGAAGGGTGTAATTCACTTGTAGTGAATAATTTGACTACCGTCCATGCTGTTAAGAAAGTATTGTTTGTTTATTAAAATAGCATCAGGCTCTGTGAAGCCAAGACACTAAAACACATATTTGGAAAGACCTTGTTCGCATGCAATGAGACGAGTGACTAGCATTTGCCAATCTACACGACTTGAACTTTTGAAATGCAGAAAAACGATTTCCTTAACATTATGCCTTCTTCAGACTTCATTCTGTTTTAGATGTAAATTATATTCACAAGCAGTTACATATAATAGGCAAATGATTTTTCTCACAGGTGCATTAGAAGTCGGTATTTCTGAAGGGACTTGCCGTACCTGGTAACTTCAAAAGATAAGTTAGTCTCCACCTCGTTGATGTGGACAAATATATACTAAAAGTTTTCCTTCATCAGATGTCTCTAGTGTGTGTGTTTTTATCTTATAACTGTTGCTACTGTACACGAGAGGGAGTGTTCGTGATAAAATATTGTACTGGGATTTCAAGTGTTCATAGTACTCTTGATGTTGTACATTGTTTTCAGTAAAGAAATCTAGCTAAACATTCGTGTGTTTGTCCTATAAAATACTGTACCCTGTGTATACTGTATATCAAAACCACAAGTATGGGAAAAGGGAAAGAATAAATGGGTGATGCAATACAAATTACAGATGTAAACCCTTGATAACTCTGATTGGCAGTAAAATATTAAAGTGTAAATTATTTTTTTACACAACTTGTAATATTCCGAGATATGATGACACACACTCGGAAAGGTGGAACACGTGCGACCATCGTGTGAGAGGTTGAGACACCCAGTTATGCATTGATAGGCCTAGTGAGAAGATACCCACCTGCAGTCATTCTACTTACTTTCACCTATTTTGTGCAATGTTCTATTCCACCTGCATTTAAAATTTAACTAGTATAGATACATATACAGTATTTTTTAAGTGAATAATAAAATTTAAACTCACTACTGTAGGTACTCACAATATACTGTATACTGTGACCCCTCGTTTAACGAACACCTCGGTTAACGTAATTTCGATTAACGAACTGCCTTCCATAAGGATCTTCAATTCGGTTAACGAAAAAAAATTCGGTTAACGAAGTTCTTACGAACCGACCTCAACATGTTTTCGCTTTTCAGTCATTTTAACAATTATTGAACATAATTGAAGGTAAAGTGACTAGTTTAATGCATCCAGCCTCTTAACACAGCAAACAGGAGTTAGTCTCTCTCACCTGCACTTTAAAATTTAATTTTGGTATAGATACATAATACAGTATTTTTTAAGTGATCATCATCATCATCATCCAGGAGCCTTCTACATACACACCTCAAAGTAAGTGAACTTTTCTACCATTTTTGTTGAATTTAGGAAATTTTCGGTGAGCTGGAACCAATTACCCAAAAACCCATTGAAACAATGGTTTCGGTTAACGAACTTTTCGGTTAACGAACGACCTTCTGGAACGGATTGAGTTCGTTAACAGAGGGGTCACTGTACTGTTTTGTAGTGCAGTGAGCCTCCATCACCTATGACACCTTCCACATGGTACCACAAACTTGAATTATCCTTCACCTGCAGTGCTGGTAAGTGTTAATTTTCTGCAAGTTTTTTTATTATGGTAGGTAATTTTGGCCAAAAAGTTGGGTATTGGGGAGGGACGAGGAAAGTGCCTTGATAACTCGGAAAGGTTAGAGCCCCATATATTCAGAGTTATCAAGGGTTTACTGTATTATATTCTTATTTGTAATTCCTGTATAGGGTGTCTAATAAGTTGCCAACCATAGGAAAATTTACTTTCTTCTCTAGATGTGGGAACAAAACAAATCAACACTAGAAAAAAGAGTCAGTTTAATATTCATGTAAGGAGAGCCAGATGCTACAACAATGCCCAGTTGTAAAAGAATTTAATCAATAACAAACACATAATTGAATCATAACACCACATACGAAAGCAACAATATTATCCAAAACATGTTAATGAGAGGCACTAAGGCATTATATTAACATAGAACCAACAATGTATTTTGAAGTTGTTGGTGAAACATTTGAAAATTTTTTATAGTGTTATGTACTGTACCTGTATTGTGCACTAATGATTGTATTATAGTAGATTGGACACTTGTACTGGCAGTAAATTGATGGATAATGAAGCTTTTCCTATGCCGGTACAATATAAAGTGAGAGGTCGTCAGTACTACTCAATCAACCTACATCGTAACATTATGCATGTAATAGTAACAAGCATGTAATAGTAACAAGCATGTTACAGGTATAAAATATTCATCATTCACGACATATTCATGTGCATACAGTACGTCCTTAATTTATATTGTTAACTTGCTTTATCAAGAGAAAATATTATGTCTGAGGGGTTCATTGTGTACATAACTGCTCTTATAAAAATGAAAGCCATCACTTCCACAACAGATCATCCTCAACTTTGGCCACCTACTTCCTTGTTGTTCATTTCTGATTCTTAAGAAGTTTTCCCTTCTCTTCCCTTACCCGATTCAAATCATCCCGTAACTGTTCGAGCTCCTCGGGATCTATGGGCTCTTTGGCGATCTTCTCGACATCATTGACCATGGATTCAATTTGCCTAGTGGTTTCTTCGGGTTCGTAGTCATAACATTCAGCAGCAGCGAGAATTATCTCAGTCAAATGTGTCTTCAGCTCTTCCTTCCTCTCCTGAAATTGGCTACTATTCATTCTAGGACTTTCATAGATGCGGTTTGTATAGTCACTGAACTTCTCCATACTATAAAGTAACCTGGCTTTGTCTTTCAGCTTAAGTGTTGAATTTTCTTCTTCTTTCTTTTCTTGTTTTTCATTAATTTGTTCACACGTTTCAGATTCTGCTGTCTCTTTATTCACTACTTTATAGGTGCGCAAAAAATGCTCGTCTTCTCTCCTCAATTTTGGCCGGTGACTGTTGTACATTGTTTAAATGGTTTTAAACTAGAAATGAAAGTTCCTCTGAATTCTTTACTTTCATAAGATCACCCAAGAACATCAGATCTGAAAGAAAATTAAATGTTTCTCTGACAATTTGGAAGATTTTGAAGTTCACTTTTGGTTTAAGGATATTATGCCAAAAAAAAAAATTAACCCACACATAATCTACAAATTTCATCAATAATACAACATAATGGGAATTAGGTTGTAAGGTATACAAGAGGCTTACACCTGATGATTAAACACCCACATGTTACCTGAGGAGGGAGTTAGTGTAGTGGATGGGGGACAGATCAGCATAATAAAGATGCTTCAGGATCCACCTACTATTCAAATCAGGTCAGGTTTTCAAAGGTGTGGAAGATTCATTGTTGTTGCAATGTTATAGGAGCAATATATCCAGAAATTTACATTCTCCATGGAAATAAAGGTCATATTCTTTAATATCAAGAAAAATATGTAAGAGAAACCTATTTTAGTAATGAATTTCTTGTTATGGCATAAAACAAATCTTTACCGAATAAGTTTCTTTTCATTAATACAAAAGAGTTGGTAACATTGAGCATGACTGGTCTGACATATACTGTACACTGCTTCCTTCTATAATTTGTCCTTTATAAAATTAACCAAACTAACCTTCCTAACAACCAAACCTAATCTAAACATGAGCTTCACTTAAATATTATTATACTAATTAATTTATGTTAGATAGGTTGGTTAGGTTAGGTTAGGTTTGGTGGTAGTGCTACCACCTGAAGGAGTTGCTTCATTTTGTTCAGTTTTTCCACAGATGTTTTTATTATAGTATTTTTAAGGAGCTGACAACTTTTTATTTTCATTTTTTTTTCTTAGTTTATTCTATCTACCATCATAAATCAGCTGTAGTGGGCAGGATATAAAGGAAATTGCGGGGTAAAACATGGTGTAAAACTGATCACGTGACATGAAAATGGGGGTCCGACTAATTACCCAAATGTACCCAAATGTAGCCGCAATGAAGTCAAATAATGGTCCTACATGAATAAATCGGGTTACCAATCACTTCTCGACTAGTATTTGGTGTCACAAAGTAAAAAAAAATTGGAAAACGTAATTTAGTTTGAGTTTGGTGATCGTAAAAAAAAATTGGAAAATGTAATTCCGAACCTAACCTAACCGACTTGATATTTGGTACCGAACCTAACCTAACCTCGACTAGTATTTGGTGTCACGAAGTCACAAAAAATTGGAAAACTTAATTTAATCTGAGTTAATAGATCAAGTGCATGTACCTAATCTAATCTAATCTAATCTAACCTAACCTAACCTAACACAACACAACTCAGATTAAATTAAGTTTACCAATTTTTTGTGACTTTATGACACCAAATAATAATCGAGAAGTGATTCACAGCCCGATTTACGCTTGTACAACCATCATTTGACTTCATTGCGGCTACATTTGGGTAATTACTCGCTCCCTCAGTACATGCACGCGATCTATTAACTCAGATGAAAGTAAGTTTTCCAATTTTTTGTGACTTTGTGACACCAAATACTAGTCGAGGTTAGGTTAGGTTTGGTACATGCACTCGATCAATAAACTCAAACTAAATTACGTTTTCCAATTTTTTTTTACTTTGTGACACCAAATACTAGTCGAGAAGTGATTGGTAACCCGATTTATTCATGTAGGACCATTATTTGACTTCATTGCGGCTACATTTTGCTACATTTGGGTACATTTGGGTAATTAGTCGGACCGCGAAAATGGTGTCCCTACGTGGTGTGTACGTGGATAAATTAATTATTTAAAGTAACTACTCCTCTGAAAACCTGCCGAGTCAGAGCCTGGTCAGTTTGTTAACAACCAACACACTCAGTCCCAGTATACTGTACTCATACCTCCACTATAAATGTATAATTACACCGTGACGTTTCAACAAAGTTGGTTTCATTACTACCAGATATCAAAATAAGTACTTTCTGTTTAATACAAAGGAGGGGGGCAGTTCGGTAGCTTTCTTTGTTTGGTTAGGTTAGGTTAGGTTAGGTTAGGTTAGGTCAGGTCAGGTTATATTAGATTCTCGTAAATGTTGCTTCTTTTAAAACACTTATTATAATAATAAGAACGTGTGGAAAAAAAGTAACAAAATCGAACAACTCCTTCTAGATGCAGTGCTGTTTTTAGTAATTACCTTATTATTGATTTAGCTTGCCACACACACACACAATATGTACAGGTAATAAGTCCGTGAGAGACGACGTTGAGGGGACTCCTGTGTGACCTGCTGTTGTTGCCTCCGCCTGAGGCCCACCAGCTGGTCCAGGACTTGGGGTGACTTGGGTTTAGCAACTGACTCTCCTGGAAACATCTGACACCTTTGTCGGCTATCCTTGGTCAAATTGTGGGTTTTACATTAAACAATATTTGTTGGAATTATATCAAGGATTTGTGCAGTAACAGCTGATTGTTGTATTAATGATTCTGAAACGATTGTCAGGACCAATTTAATAATTGTTGAGGTTGTTAGACATAATTCAGCATCATATAATTCCTAAAATAACATTTTAACTGGTATACTGTAGCCGATAGTGTGCGTGTCGCTCTCCAGTACCTCCTGGACTCGAGCCCGAGGTGGAGGACAGATGAAGAAAGATGTTCCCTAATACATAAACGTTTGTACCACAGCTGTATAAGTGACAGTATAAAAAGGTTAAATAAATTCTAGATTATTAGAAATAGTCTAGCATATATATATATATATATATATATATATATATATATATATATATATATATATATATATATATATATATATATATGCCATTAAATCACATTTTTAGCCTTATTAATATAGGGTAAGTTGTGATAAAGGTAAAGGAACTGCTCACGCTCAGAAACAGAATATTAGTAAACAAACAAGTTTACCTGGTAGGGAGGCTGTCACCTGCCAGTTAAAATTTATACATCACTACAGTGCCACGTTACCTGTGTATGGGAAACAACAGATGCAGGTATGTGCTTATTTTAATTCTAGTAACTAATTTTCTAAAGTTAATAAAGCAGCAAAGGCAAATATACGACTGGTGACCGTAGATGGTTAAGTAATTATGAGGGTTTTTTTTTAGTTTTGGTAAAACTGCAGTTTTGGACAATACTGTGGGGGTTCAAGATGTTCACTCAGGATGGGATGGAGAAAGGAAACTCACAATGTGCTCTCTGTATACATGTTGTATTGGATGTACAATGCAGCTTGGTGCTGGGAAGGCAGCATGGTTACAAGCGTGATGTAGAGAGAGCTGGTTGGTGAGGATGCTCACAGGAGGACAGCTTGTGGGTCGCCATGCTCGCCGGCGGGAGAGAGGACCGCCAGGCAGCGGCGGAGGAGGAGGAGGTGTTGCTGGCTGGTTGGTGTAGGTAGAAAGAGGTAGGTCACCACGAGGTCAGGTCTTAAATAGCGGGGGATAGGCGTGGCTTAGTAGTTGACCCCCGCTCCGTGATGTATGGCGGCGCTGGTTGACCTAGACCACGAGGCATACACTGGGGAATTGGTGGGGTCGGCTACTCAGCGACAAACAGCGTTTGTAGGGGAGAAATCCACTACAATACTCCCCCTTCCCTCCAGGCAGTGTAGGAGACTTGTTGTCTGCAGGGTTGCATGGCACATGTGAGGCAGAACGGGCGGTGCATGCCTCATGTGAGACAACGGCGATGGCGTGGATGAGCCGGTCGCTGGAGACAACTATCTAGATACACAATATCTGTGGGAGTAAAGAGGGAGAAAAAGGGTGTGTGGAGGCGATGAATTTTGTTCTTCCCTCACGGCAGGTACAGAGTCGTCAGATGCGCCTGCTGGGGTGTGTGGGCCTGGGTCAGGAGCAGGGGCTGCGTCAGCAGAAGCAGATGAGGGCTCGTGACAGCAGCAGGGTCCACGACAGCAGCAGGGTGCAGGACATTAGCAGGGAGTACCTGAGGGAGAAAAGAGGGGTGTGTGGATCCGCACTCAGGAACAGGGGCCGCGTCAGGGGCGGCAGGGGTTACTGCTGGGCCGGGGTAGGCGTCTGAGGCAGGACGGGTGTGCTGGGGTCGGAAGAGGAGCGACTGTCTGCTTAGAGTAGCAGAGCTGCTCTAGGGTGTTTAACCTACGGTGTAGAGACAGTAGCTGTAGAGCCGATGAGAGCTGCTTCTGGGTGGATAAGCCAGTCTTTCATGTTGCTTGAAGACTGGGAGCGTGATCAGTTTCTCCTCCATCCTGTGTGAGTGCGAATCTCCGGGGGTCACCATTGTGGGGTTCAAAATGTTTGGTGTTCACACTCAGGATGGGGTGGAGAAAGGAAACTCACAATGTGCTCTCTATATACATGTTGTATTGGATGTACAATGCAGCTTGGTGCTGGGAAGGCAGCATGGTTACAAGCGTGATGTAGAGAGAGCTGGTTGGTGAGGATGCTCAGAGGAGGACCAGCCTGTGGGTCGCCATGCTCGCCGGCGGGAGCGAGGACCGCCCTGCAAGCGGAGGAGGAGGTGTTGCTAGCTGGTTGGTGGAGGTAGAAAGAGGCAGGTCACCACGAGGTCAGGTCTTAAATAGCGGGGGGGTAGGCGTGGCTTAGTAGTTGATCCCCGCTCCGTGATGTATGGCGGCGCTGGTTGACCTAGACCACGAGGCATACACTGGGGAATTGGTGGGGTCGGCTACTCAGCAACAAACAGCGTTTGTAGGGGAGAAATCCACTACAATACCTCTAGTAGTTGGGCAATGTGTTTTTCCGATTGTTTAGACAATTTCTAAGACACTTTTCTTCTATGGTGATTCCGGTATATTTAAGTACTGTAATTTGCGTGGGATGTGTTATAAAAGAAGTGGCTTAAAATTTTCTATACAATCGGAAAAACACATTACTCAACTCGAGATCCATATTGTCCGAAACTGCAGTTATACTGTGGGGTACATTATGTTTGGGTTCACACTCCGGATGGTTGGAGAAAGGAAACTCACAATGTGCTCTCTATATACATGTTGTATTGGATGTACAATGCAGCTTGGTGCTGGGAAGGCAGCATGGTTACAAGCGTGATGTAGAGAGAGCTGGTTGGTGAGGGTGCTCAGAGGAAGACCACTTGTGGGTCGCCATGCTCGCCGGCGGGAGCGAGGACCGCCAGGCAGGCGGAGGAGGAGGAGGTGTTGCTGGCTGGTTGGTGGAGGTTGAAAGAGAGCAGTCACCACGAGGTCAGGTCTTAAATAGCGGAGGTAGGCGCGGCTTAGTAGTTGACCTCCGTCATGTAAGGCGGTGCTGGTTGACCCAGACCACGAGGCATACACTGTGGAATTCGCGGGTCGGCTACTCCGCGACAAACAGCGTTTGTAGGGGAGAAATCCACTACATTACCACAGTTTTGTACACTGATTATGCTTTTCCTTCTATTCAATTTCTTGTGCAAGTGCTTAGTTTTCTAGATATAGGCGAGTTAAGGTATAGGTTTGGTTAGGTTAACACATGATTTTACCCATTTTAATATTTTTCTCTACACAATACAGTATTCCCTAATATAATCAGTGAAAATTGGGGCAAAATTTCCGTAATGTACCAGCCTTTCTCTCGCTGTTATTAATATGTTTTTCGTAATGTTTAGACAATTCTAAGACCTTTTTATTCTATGATATTATCACCGGAAATTAAGGATAACCGAGATATTAATTTTTCAATATTATTAAATTTGGTCAGTCACAAGTGTCGCCATTTGTTGTTTACGTCTCACAGAGAAGATCTGACCACCCATCATGCAGTGCTCCTTACCTCTGTGTTGGCTTCTTAAGCATCTACAGCGCATGTGCGTGGGGTGATGTGGGAGTTTCTTATTGGCGATAACGATAAGAGACTTATAATTGAGAAAGAGTTTTTTGCCTTAGCCAATGAACAATATGTTGGTGCGTTGGGAGCGGAGATTTGATTTTTCAGTACCAAAATAACAAGATATGGTTGAACAGGTGTTAGGTTTGGTTTTGTTGGTTAGTTGGTATTTTATTTGTGTGATTTACTCGAAAAAATATATTTTTTCGTAAAGATTGATGGGTATGGGGGGGGGGGGCGTTTATCTAAATAAAACTATTGATTTCCGGCTGAAATTAACATCAAATTCGTTCAAAATTTATCAAATAACATCGGAAAAAAATATTTTTTTATATCCAAACAAAGACCGGTGCATAAGTGAAATTTGACCAAATTGGGTATTTTTAAACCCAGTTTCAATGAAAAAACAGCGGACAGTCACGATCGTAAGCAGTGTGTGGTGAATAATGGTACAAAATCGTCATGTGTACCCGTGACAAGCTGGGTACCACAGGACTGTGTATTGAGCCCATTGTTGTTTGTTTGTTTCATAAATGACATGCCAGAGGCTATACACTCCTCCAAGCAAATATTTGTGGACGATGCCAAGTTATTTAGGGAAATTAAGAACCAAGCAAACTGTGAGCTTAAAGAATGGTCAAGGAAATGGCTGCCAAGATTCAATGTCACGAAGTGCAAAAGGATGCACCTGGGACGTACCAATGGTAAGGAGGCATATCATATGTCCCAACAGGACGAAGAAACTGCATTAATTGTGACTGAATGCGAAAAGGACCTGGGTGTGATTGTTGACAATGAACTGAATTTCTCGGGCCATTGTGAGAAGAAGGTGAATGAAGTAACTAAATTATTAATTTTTATATATATTTTATCCTCTTCACCAATGATCGGCTCATTAGCTGCTTGGGTGATCGGTTACGTCTCTTCGTCAAGGATACATTAAAATGTTGTATTAATAATTCAATAAAGGGTGAAATGGGAACCGAGTCTGTATGGGTAGAAATCACGGAAGGAAGAGAAAAACTAATTATGGGAGTGATTTACAGGCCCCCAAGTCTGGGCAAAGAAGCAGCTCAGTCCATATGACAGGAAATGAGTAGGGCAGCAAAATATAACAACCTATGCATTATGGGGGGATTTCAACTTCAGAAATATTGACTGGGACAACATTGTAGGTGACTGAATCAGAAGACTTCCTAGACGCAGTACAGGACAATTTTTTGAAACAACTAATAACAGAACCTACTGAATCAGAAGACTTCCTAGACGCAGTACAGGACAATTTTTTGAAACAACTAATAACAGAACCTACTAGAGGTGACAATATATTAGACCTAGTATTAACAAATAAAGAAAATATTATCAGAGATATCACAGTAGGGGAAGAACTAGGTAACAGTGATCACAGAGAAGTCAGGTTCACCCTAAATTGGGAAACAAAAAACAATGACAATATGGTCAGAGTCCCAAACTTTCGGTTGGCGGATTATCAGGGGTTAAGAAGGTACCTAGGTAAGGTCACCTGGGAACAGTCACGTCAGTCCCCAGTAGGAAGGGGTGAGGTCATAGATGACACAACAATTGATCATGACTATAATACAGTATATTCATTAGTATACGACATAAAGCACAAGAACAAAATATACCATACAGAACAATTAGGTCAAATAAGAATGAGCCAAGGTGGATGACCAGAAAACTTAAACATGATATAGGAATAAAGAAAGGAATATATAAGAAATTAAAGGGAGGGGAGGAGCAGCTCAGAAACAGGTATAATGAACTATCTAGGAATGTTAAGAAAAATGTAAGGAAAGCAAAGAGAGACTATGAAGTCAAAATAGCA